TTATTAAATCAAAGTACACAGTCAACATGAAAATTGAAGAGTCTGAAGACAAGAAAATTAAACACATGGAAATCATCACCATTATAATAACACTTAATATTTGTGACTTTCAAATTGCTATGTATTTTTAAATGTCATGTGGTAGCTGTGTCACACCTGTCAATAGGAAGCACACCAATTGATAGTGATGTTATAATCACAAGAAAAAGGTATTGCTGCTTTTATGGAATGTATACATTGAGTGACTGGAATTTTAGTTGTGTTTTTTTTTCTAGAGGATTCTTAGATGTCTGAATTGAATTTTCTTTGCATTTTTTCCTGTTTCAAGTATATCAAACTTTTTAAATTTTTGCATTAAATGCTGTTCATTGGATTTCAAGATTTCTTAACCATTAGTTTTAAATAAGTGTTTCTTTTAAAGACTTTTCAAGTCTTAGTGTTTATCTCTTTCTCTTCTTGAACCTTTATGCTATGTCCTTTACATGGGTTTCTGGCTTTTGTGACCTGCTCTGCTGTTTTTACTTTTTTTGTGTTGTGGAATAATATTTTTAGATCTGTTACATTTTTTGTGCTGTGAAATATTTGTTTAATGCACAAAGATGTGTTGCATTCTTTTTATGGTACATTTGTTTAACTCTGTGAAGTTATGTTCTAAAACACCTGATTGGTGTACTAAAGAACTGAACAACCAATAGCTGGGCAGGAGAAGAAAATAGGCAGGGTTGGCAGTTAGAGAGAATAAAAGGTAGAAAAGAGAGAAGAGAGCAGTGTGAGATAGTTCGGAGGAGAGGAGGACTCCAGGGTCCAGCTGCCCAGGAGGACAACCAGACACAGAATAAGAAGAAAAGGAAAGTTACACAGAAATAGAGAAATGCGAAAGCCCAGAGGCAAAAGGTAGACAGAAAAGGTGCCTAAAAATAAACCAAGCTAAGGTTGGACATTGATAAGAAAGGAGAAATCTCTGTGTGATTATTTGGGAGCTGGGTGGCAAAAGGGTAAAGTGTAAAAAAAAACCACCAAGAATTATTTTGTAAATTTTTTCTATTTTGTGTTTACCTTTAATAATAGTTTCTTTCTTCCTTTCATTCATTCATTCTTTCTTTCTTTGTTTCTTTCTTCCTTTTTTTAAAGACAGGGTTTCTCTGTGTAATAGCCCTAGCTGTACTGGTTTTGTATCCTGTGAAGATTTGTCACTTGTATTGGTTTAATAAAACACTGATTGGCCAGTAGTCAGGCAGGAAGTAGAGGTGGGATGATCTGAATAGGAGAATTCTGGAAAGAGGAAAGGCTCAGTTTGCAGTTGTAATACAGACCCAGAGGATGTAAGATGAGAATGCCTCGCTGATAAAAAGGTACCAAGCCACATGGCTAACACAGACAAGAATTTGGCTTTTTTAAGATGTAAGAGTTAGTTAATAAGCAGCCTGAGCTAATACAGCAGCCAGTTTATAATTAATGTGGGCCTCTGTGTATTTCTTTGGGACTGAATGGCTGCAGGACCAGGTGAGACAGATACTCTTTTGACATAGCTGTCCTGGAACTAGCTCTTGTAGATCAGACTGGCCTTGAACTCACAAAGATCCTTCTACCTCTGCCTCCTGAGTGCTTGGATTAAAGGCATGTGCCATCACTGTCCAGCTATTAATAATTTCTTACCTAAGTCTCCTATATTACTCTACATTAGTCACAGTTCCCAGAGAATCTGAAGTATGGGGGCCAGCAAATACTAAGTTTTATAGTCAGAAAGCTGGGAGTCCAGGTGAGCCCACTGTGGTAGGAAAGAGCTGCTTATTTCCTGGCCGCTTAGCTCTGAAATAATCACATAGAAACTGTATTAATTAATCATTGCTTGGCCCATTAGCTCTGACTTCTTATTGGCTAACTCTTACATATTAATTTAACCCATCTCCATTAATCTGTGCATCACCACAAGGCCTACCAGCAAGGTTTCAACATATCTGTCTCTGGCGGTGGCTCCATGGCTTCTCTCTTTACTCTGCCTCCTTTCTCCCAGCATTAAGTTTAGTTTTCCTCACCTAACTGTGTTCTACCCTGCTATAGGCTCAAACCAGCTTCCTTTATTAACCAATGGTATTCACAGCACACAGAGTGGAATCCCACATCAGCTCACAGTGCTCTTTCATTTGAATATAGGTATGTAGGCTTGAAACCCAGAAGGAGCTTATTGTCGCATTTTAGATATTATTCTCTACAAGATCAGGTTTTCTATGCTCCTCAAGACCTTAGAACTGTTTGGATGGGACCTTTTAAGTTATGAAGTGTTCCATACTTTATTTTGCTTATTAATTCACATGTGAATTTTAGCTAACAATACTTTCATAGACATACCCACAATTGATCAAGTACCTGGGTACTATTCCCAGGCAAGTTGACATATGCACTATGACATCGCATCTATCTAACAAGTTTTTGGTTTCAAGTGGAATGCTTTAAACAGGGAAATATGCCTGGAAATATTCCAAACCACTTGCTTTTATATCTAATAGGACAATTGGGGACTAGCTTCTGTAGAGCTGAGTTCTGGCTTAATTCAGTAGAAGCTACTGGGTAACTTGTTAATAGTAAATTCTCAAGAACCATTAGCTTCTGTTAAATTTCTTGTAGATGCACAATTTGCAGAAAAACACAAACATTCTTTTTCTTCTGCATAACTTTCTAGTCACAGAACTTCAGACATATTACTTGTTTATATATTTTAAAAGCTTCTCTGATACTTTTACCTACTTGTGAGACCCTTTTCCTCCTACTGAGTTGTCTGGTCCTGCCTAGTCTTACTGAATCTTGTTATTCTCTCTTTGGTTGATATCATGGGAAGGTCTGCTCTTGTCTGAAGGGAAACAGGGGGAGTGGATCTGGGAAAGAAGGGAGGGCAGGAGTGGGGAACTGGGAGAAAGGCAGACTGGGGTAAGGATGTATTGCATGAGAGAGGAAGAAAGAAAAAGGAACAAAAGGCTGATGCATACCACATATTAATCAGCTCTTGGTGTATGTACTAGAAGTTGTAGTGGGATTTCTATATTATAGGAATCAGTGTTCTATTTTTTTCCTGTGTGTCTGTGGGCCATACATTTAAAAATGAGTTTTCATTCGAAGTCATAATTCTCTTTCATTGTGAACATTTTATCATTTTTATAAGCTCATTTCATCTCAGCTTATATAGTCAGTTGTCAGTGATCCTGGGATGATTCAGTAAATTAACACTTGAGGCATGTGCCTAGTTAACAGCAGGGTGATATTCCTTATTCATTCTTATGCCTGGATACACTTAAACTCCCATTGAGAGAACAGCAGAAAAGTCAGACTTAAAAAGAACCCCCCACACCAATCTGAACTTGGCATTTCATTATCCATAGAAAAAGTCTTGCTCTTTCATGGAATAACAGTCACAGACTGTTATTGATTGTTGTTGTTGATTAAGGGCTTAGTATGTAATTCATCGGTGCACTTAGTAGATCTTTGAGGCAGGTACTATTTTAACATCCTATGTGATGTTGTATGTGTGATAGGCATGAATCTGTGTTAGCATGTATGTGGTGCACAGGTAGAAGCAAGAATTTGGCTTTGGATGTCTTCTTTGATCCTTCTTCCCTTTATTTACAGAAGCAGGGATTCTAGATGGATCCAGAGTTTACTGATTCTGGCTATCCTGTCCTGAAGATCATCTGTCTCTGCCTTGTGGAGCATTGGGATTATAGGTGGGCATCATACATGCGCTCTTTTTTTAATGTGACTTCTGAGGACATGAACTCTGGTCCTTATTATTGCAAGGTTATGAGGTATGCACTTGATCCACTGAGCCACTGAGCCATATTCCTAGTTCATTAACACCTTTTCATATTTTCTTTCTTATTTCTTTTCTTCTTTTTACAGAGGACAAGATGGAGCAGCTTTGGAGGTTTAAATTGCAAGGTGTTGGGAACCCACAAAACATCCATTTCATGAGTCCATATGGTATGACTGCAGTTGTAGGTTAGATCATATCATCTCTTAGTTGCACCTAAAACTATTCAAAGACATCCCTTCCAAGCTCAAACTTTGCACGTGTCTTCAGAGGAAATACATATCGATTCTATTACCCTTCTTTTGTTCTCAGCCAGCTGTTATCTGCTTCTCACACCTGACTGAATCTGAACACAAACTGAATCACATTTAATAGAAAACCTTTTAGGAACCACCCTTCAACCAGTTTCCATGGAAACAAATGCCAGTCTAGTAATAGGCTAATTTTTAGTTTGATTAAAATTTTGACAAAAAGTCATTTTATAGTAAGTGTTTCTTCCTGATATAATGAGCTCATCTATTTGTTTTTATCCCTTCAAAGATTATGTATGCTATGTTTGATGGTCAATCAATTACCAAATGCTAATTAACATAAAGAAAATATTTATGTACATTTAAACTTTGAGTCACAATATTAGTATATACCCCATATTCACAATATTGTCATTTTTTTCACTGTTCAAGGTTTATTTGGTGCTTTAATTGGCATGACACTTGGGTAGTTGGTTGCATCATCCATATGCAGATCTTACATTTTACATAATATTTCAATGTACACTAGACACATAATACACAAAATAATATCCTTTAGAACAGTTATGCACAAGATATGCATAATGGATTTACACACTGGAGCCAGGTTATGACTAACTGGGAAATCATTGGCCTAGGCATGTCTGGTGAGGGTGCATAGCCCAGACACAGCAGGTTCACAGGGTAACTGAAGCCTGCACACAATTGGCAGTGTCTTGGAGACAGTGGGACTGTCACACCAACCAGGTCACCACTACACAAGTACCACATAGCATCAGGGTAGAGCTGTGGGAACACAACTGCCCTACCCACAGCTCAGATGAGGAGACAGTGTGCGGTCTCCATAGAAACCCTGCATAGAAACTGCAGCCCGGACAGTGAAGCGCTAGGACATCTGAGGACTTTTGGAACTGCAGCTCCTCCTGGATCCCCCAGCGCGCATCTGCACTCTTCTTCAAGCGGGCCTCCTCTTCAGAAGTCAGAGTCACCTTCACAACATCGGAGATTCCATTTTGTCCCAGGACACAGGGGACACTGAGGAAGACATCATCCTTGATTCCATAGAGACCCTTAATCATGGTGGAAATGGGGTGCACCCGCCTCAGATTCTTCATTATGCTCTCTGCCAAGTCAGCCACAGAGAGGCCAATGGCCCAGGACGGTATAACCTTTCAGCTTGATCACCTCATAGGCGCTGTCAACCACCTGCTTGTGAACCTCCTTCCACTGCTCCTTGTCTGCATCGGAGCCCAGATCTGGGTTCAGATTCTTCAGGGAGACACCAGCGACATTCACACCACTCCACACAGGCACACTGGAGTCCCCGTGCTCCCCCAGGACCCAGCCATGACAGCTTAGTGGGTGAACACCCAGCCTTTCTCCCATCAGGTAACGGAAACGAGCTGAATCCAGATTGCAACCACTCCTGATGACTCGGTTTTTGGGAAAGCCACTAATTTTCCAGGCCACGTAGGTCAAGATGTCCACTGGGTTGGAAACAATGAGCAGCTTGCAGTTTGAACTGTACTTGACAACGTTGGGAATGATGAACTTGAAGATGTTCACATTTCGTTGGACCAGATTGAGTCGACTCTCTCCCTTCTGCTGACGGGCCCCCGCGGTGATGATGACCAGCTTGGAGTTGGCAGTCAAGCTATAGTCTTTGCTAGAGACAATTTTCGGTGTTCTAAGGAAAAGGCTGCCGTGCTGAAGATTCATCATCTCTCCCTTCAGTTTGTCTTCCATGACATCAACAAGGGCAAGCTCATCCGCCAAGTCCTTCATTAGGATACTGATGGCACAAGCCATGCCAACAGCACCAACCCCAACAACCGTAATCTTGTTCTGGGGGGCCTGTTCTTCCTTAAGGAGATTCACAATCAGCTGGTCCTTGAGCGTTGCCATCTTGTTGGACTTTGAAGCTTTTGGGACCGGTAGTGCACGACGAGCAGCTTCGGGCGCACAGCAGCGTGGTACCTATTGTCATTTTCAAAAGGAAATTATGAAAGACTTTTATTTATTGATTTTTTATTGAGCTCTACATTTTTTTCTCTGCTCTTCTCCCTGCCTCTCCCTTCCGATTTACTCAGGAGATCTTGTCTTTTTCTACTTCCCCTGTAGAATAGATCTATGTATGTCTCTCTTAGAGTCCTTATTGTTGTCTAGGTTCTCTGGGATTGTGATTTGTAGGCTGGTTTTCTTTGTTTTTTTGTTAAAAACCACTTATGAGTGAGTACATGTGATACTTGTCTTTCTGGGTCTGGGTTACCTCACTCAAAATGATGTTCTCTACCTCCATACATTTGTCCGCAAAATTCGTGATGTCGTTATTTTTTTCTGCTGTGTAGTACTCCATTGTGTAAATGACAAAGAAGCAAAAAATATCAAATGGAAAAAAGAAAGCATCTTTAACAAATGGTGCTGTCATAACTGGATATCAACATGTAGAAGAATAAAAATAGATCCCTATCTATCGCCATGCACAAAACTCAAGTCCAAATGGATCAAAGACCTCAACATAAAGTCAGCCACACTGAACCTCATAGAAGAGAAAGTGGGAAGTACACTTGAATGCATTGGCACAGGAGACCACTTCCTAAATATAACCCCAGCAGCACAGACACTGAGAGAAACAATTAAAAAATGGGACCTCCTGAATCTGAAAAGCTTCTGTAAAGCAAAGGACGTGGTCAACATGACAAAATGACAGCCTATAGAATGGGAAAAGATTTTCACTAACCCCACATAAGACAGAGGTCTGATCTCCAAAATATACAAAGAACTCAAAAAATTGGTCATCAAAAGAACAAATAATCCAATAAAAAAATGGAGTACAGACCTAAACAGAGAACTCTCAACAGAGGAATCTAAAATGGCTGAAAGACACTTAAAGAAATGTTCAACATCCTTAGTCATCAGAGAAATGCAAATCAAAACAACTCTGAGATTCTACCTTACACCTGTAAAAATGGCTATGATCAAAAACACTGATGAAAGACTTTTTTTGCCTTCTGGTTTATTTAAATTAAATTAAGAGATATAAGATTTGGTGAATGAATACAAAGTACAAGTTCTTTCCTTCTCTTTCTCTCTCTTTTTTAAAGAGGCAATTATTAAACAGGACTACAGATTTGTATCTAAAACAGATCAGAAGGGCTTGTTCTGAATCCTTATTTATTCTGCGGTCTATGTAAAAGAATAAGCCAAGTAAGGGGAAGTTTAGGTCTATAAACAAAATACAATTTATTCTTAGTTGTTGCTGTCTATTAGTTAGTAGCTGCAGAAAAGGAAAAAAAATTAAAAAGACACAGCAACATTTTAAAATTAGGTCCACCCAAAAGAGAAATGTGAACCATTAGTAAGAACATTCAACAGAAAGCCTGAGAATTGTAGAGCAATACACCCAAGTCAACATTTAAAAAGGATTAAAATGCAGTATTTTCAGAGTGGAGAAAGCCACTAAAGACCTTTTCTTGGTGATAAGGAGCTCCACTTTGTGTTGTCAACAGGAGTGGAGAGAAATGACACAAGAGAGGAGTCCCCTGAAAGAGGAAGCATACCTGACAGGAAGGGAAAGCCAGGGGTTCTTGATAGTGAAATAGATGCCTCTTCTAATGAAGCGGTGCCTTGAGTAGCAGCATGCACTGTCAAATGGAAGCTGCATTGGTGGCTCAGCTCCATGGAGTTGTGCAGTGTGCAGGATTTTTGGGCAGGTGGTGTCAACATTTGGAGCCATTCAGAAGAACTGAAGAATGTGAGTGGATGTATTGCTGAAACTAAGAGAGGGTAAAGGGAGGAAAGATGAAAGTGGGGCTTGAAAAAGCCTGCCACAAGCAGACAAGGAGGAAGAACTGAGCTAAAGAAGGACACCACTGAGGTGTCACGGAAGCTCTAAGAGGAGAGTGTTTCACGAAAGGAGTGATAAATCATGCTGGATATCGGGAAGAGTTAGTGGAGGGAGAGAAACACAATGCATCACTGGTAGCTTTTAATAGAGCAGCTTCAGTGTTGGCTGTGTTTAGAAGTCAGTTTTTGCAGAATAAAGGAGTACTGGCTGATACACAAGCAGTGATGTCAGTGTTGTTGTTCCAGCCATAAAACAGGGATCGTTATTTGCAAAGGTGGCACTGTGGAGGAAAAGAGAGGTTTATGGCTGGAGAGAGGGCTGTTTATCACACATACTGCTGGGTACTGGGATTTGTGCTACAGCCTTTTTCTTTCTTTCTTTTTAAACTGCTTTTCTGTTAGCTTCCACCCATGGCATTCACTGTCTTACTTAGGGTTGTTATTTGGGGGATGAAACACCAAAAACAGTTGGAGAGGACAGGGTTAATTTGGTATACATATCCCAAGTCACAGTTCATTGAGGGAAGCCAAGGCAGAAACTCAGACTGGCTGGGGACCTGGAGGTTGAAGCTGTTGCAGAGGTCATGGAGGGTTGCTGCTTGCTGGCTTTCTGCTTCTGGCTTGTTTCGTAGGCTTTCATATGGAATCCAGGTCTACTAGCTTGGGGTGGCATCACCCACAACTGCTGCCCTTTCCAGCTGCAACATCAGTCACTAATTAAGAAAATTCCCTACAGGCTAGTCTACAACCCAGTCTCATGGAGGTATTTTCTCAGTTGAGGTTTGCTTCCCTCAGATGCCTCTAGCTCATGTCAACTTGACATCCAGCGCATTGATGTAGTGTGGCAATAGCTAATTTCATCTTCTCTTTTTATGAAGATTTGAAGGTAACGGAGTCAGTAGGTCTTTCTTTTAGAAAGTGCATTGGTTCAGGGAGGACCACATCCCTTAGTCATGGAATCAAGGCCTCCTCTGGGACTTTAGCTAGTCGCTATGGAAGAAGTGGTCGTATCTTTTAGTATTGCTAGTACTAAAACCATCATGGATCCATAGAGTCCTGTTATAAATAAAGAACTCAGGAGGGAGCATTTAGACATAATTATAAAGAGGTAAGAAGGAAGGGAAGGGGAAAGAAAGGGGAAGAAGAAAATGGAGACTAAAGAGAAGAAAGAGGGAGAAGGATAGTTGATGAGACTCTGAACTTCTGGATCTAAGTCTCATCTGGGAAAAGGTTGCATTTTTTTTTCATTTACTCTGATGCTGAATGAAAAAGAAATACAAAAAAGCCCAGAGTTAGGTTGATGTAGGGGAAACAAAATGAAAAAAATGGATAATAAATGACTGAAATAAACTTTAGTCAGTAGAATAAAAAACCTCCCATGATTTGACACATAATCAACATGTTTTATTGGTTTTTTTTTTGGTAAATAGTGAATGAGTTGTTGCTTTCATAAAGATGCTGTATTGCTGATTGGGTTCTATGGTTGATTGATTATAAAAAATATGGAGAGATGAAAAGCAGCAACAGATAAGAAAATGTTTGAAATATGTTACATTCAATACTCAGACATACTGCAACACACATACCACATACACACGCATACCACTAACACACACCACACATACATCCATATCACACAATACACATACACTGCACATACA